ATTTTAAAGATTAACCATTCTATTCGAACCGTCAGGGCAGCAGACTCAGAATGTTTCCCCTAAAATTTCTTTCTAAAATTTCCGTATTCTAGCAATCGGGCCCATTTATAGACCATATTCTAGAACATCAATACCAGGTGCCGAGCAAAGTTAAGCTGCATAGTCCTTCGTCAACCTTTTCAGAGCTTTCCATGTCGTTCTACAAAAAAAAATCTACTTGACGACTCTCAGCTCTGACATCCTAATCATGTTCGAAAACATTTGCAGCAACGATGCCTCCAACTAGAGACGAAGGGGCTCATAAGCAACAATACATCGAGTTATCATGTTTAAAGATAGGGCTCTGTTACATCAGTCAATTTCAAAGGAACATCAGTTCTACCGTCAATCGTGTCTTCAATCGCAATCTGTCAGTCAATATGCAGAGCAGCAGATAGTAAATGCATATACACACTGGAAGGGAGACAACTCTCTACGAAGCTTTAGCTCTTTCATCACCCCAGAGCGATTTAGTTCCTATCTTACAACGTTCGCTTGGTCAGACCATGTCTGTTTCGATGTCCTCCATACACCGACCGTGGATTATACCCAGAGACATTTACTCAAACACTTCTGTAGTTGTTTCCTCTGTTTTCTACTTACCAGCAGCACGACGAAGGGTTCATCTCGAGAATACAAAACTCTCCATTTAGGTCACGCTGATTTTTATGAACATTCCATGACAGGTTTACCGATAAGCGATCAAACATGTCTTGAAAGTCAACTCATCCTGCTGTTTTCATTCATCGAAGTGATCATGGCGAGATTATCCGCAAACATCGAATAATTAAGTCGACCCAAAGGACGATCTCGGTTGGAGTTCTTGGCTGCGTCTGCTGATCCAACTCAAAAATTCTGAACGGGAACGGAAATAATGCACTACTTCTGTAGGAGAAACCAACGCGCACCTTGAATGGCACTGTCTTCCTGCTTTCACTCTGGACATCTCTCAGGAGCTAATCCAGCGCCTCTTCTTGCACTAATCGTCAACCGACGACTAAACAACTGTACTGACAGCTTTCTCCGGGTCTACCAAGCAATCCTCCTTCCTAAGTCCTATTTCCGCTACGTCAGCAAGGTAGGACAGTGACTACGGGTTTTCAAGACGATGTATAGCTGAGCCTGTAGGCTCTGAACCATGCAGCAAAAGCTTGAGAAGTATACCAGTCCAAGTGGAAGTGGTAACAATCACCGACGCGTCTGGTCAGCATGGTTAGGTAAGGTCATA